CGTCTGGGGAGGTGGAGGTGAAGCGTCTGGGCAGGTGGAGGTGAAGCGTCTGGGGAGGTGGAGGTGAAGCGTCTGGGGAGGTGGGAGGTGGAAGCGTCTGGGGAGGTGAGGTGGAGGTGAAGCGTCTGGGCAGGTGGAGGTGAAGCGTCTGGGGAGGTGAGGCGTCTGGGGAGGTGGAGGTGAAGCGTCTGGGGAGGGGAGGTGGGGGAGGTGGAGGTGAAGCGTCTGGGCAGGTGGAGGTGAGGTGAAAGCGTCTGGGCAGGTGGAGGTGAAGCGTCTGGGGAGGTGGAGGCGTCTGGGGAGTGGAAGGTGAAGCGTCTGGGGAGGTGAAGCGTCTGGGGAGGTGAAGCGTCTGGGGAGGTGGAGTGAAGCGTGTGGGCAGGTGGAGGTGAAGCGTCTGGGGAGGTGGAGGTGAGGTGAGCGTCTGGGGAGGTGGAGGTGGAAGGTCGTTCTGGGGAGGTGGAGGTGAAGCGTGGGGAGGTGAGCGTCTGGGGAGGTGGAGGTGAAGCGTCTGGGGAGGTGGGCGTCGGGAGGTGGAGGTGAGCGTCTGAAGGTGAAGCGTCTGGGGAGGTGGAGGTGAAGCGTCTGGGAGGTGGAGGTGAAGCGTCTGGGGAGGTGGAGGTGAAAGCGTCTGGGCAGGTGGAGGTGAAGCGTCTGGGGAGGTGGAGGTGAAGCGTCGGGGTGAAGCGTCTGGGGAGGTGAAGCGTCTGGGGAGGTGGAGGTGAAGCGTCTGGGAGGTGGAGGTGAGCGTCTGGGGAGGTGGAGGTGAAGCGTCTGGGAGGTGGAGGTGAAGCGTCTGGGGAGGTGGAGGTGAAGCGTCTGGGGAGGTGAAGCGTCTGAGGTGGAGCGTCTGGGGAGGTGGAAGGTGAAGCGTCTGGGAGGTGGAGGTGAAGCGGGGAGGTGAAAGGTCTGGGGAGGTAGAGGTGAAGCGTCTGGGGAGGTGGAGGTGAAGCGTCTGGGCAGGTGAAGCGTCTGGGGAGGTGAAGCGTCTGGGGAGGTGGAGGTGAAGCGTCTGGGGAGGTGGAGGTGAAGCGTCTGGGAGGTGGAGGTGAAAGCGTCTGGGGAGGTGGAGGTGAAGCGTCTGGGGAGGTGGAGGTGAAGCGTCTGGGGAGGTGGAGGTGAGCGTCTGGGGAGGTGAGGTGAAGCGTCTGGGCAGGTGGAGTGAAGCCTGGGGAGGTGGAGTGAAGCGTCTGGGGAGGTGGAGGTGAAGCGTCTGGGGAGGTGAGGAGGTGAGGTGAAGCGTCTGGGGAGGTGGAGGTGAAGCGTCTGGGGAGGTGGAGGTGAAGCGTCTGGGGAGGTGGAGGTGAAGCGTCTGGGGAGGTGGAGGTGAAGCGTCTGGGCAGGTGGAGGTGAAGCGTCTGGGGAGGTGGAGGTGAAGCGTCTGGGGAGGTGAAGCGTCTGGGCAGGTGGAGGTGAAGCATCTGGGGAGGTGAGGTGAAGCGTCTGGGGAGGTGGAGGTGAAGCGTCTGGGCAGGTGGGGTGAAGCGTCTGGGGAGGTGGAGGTGAAGCGTCTGGGGAGGTGGAGGTGAAGCGTCTGGGGAGGTGGATGTGGGGAGGTGAAAGCGTCTGGGGAGGTGAAGCGTTGGCAGGTGAAGCGTCTGGGTAGGTGAAGCGTCTGGGGAGGTGGAGGTGAAGGTGGGGAGGTGAAGCGTCTGGGGAGGTGAAGCGTCTGGGGAGGTGGAGGTGAAGCGTCTGGGGGTGAAGCGTCTGGAGGTGAGGTGAAGCGTCTGGGGAGGTGGAGGTGAAGCGTCTGGGGAGGTGGAGGTGGAGGTGAAGCGTCTGGGGAGGTGAAGCGTCTGGGGAGGTGAAGCGTCTGGGAGGTGGAGGTGGAGGTGAAGCGTCTGGGGAGGTGGCGGTGAGCGTCTGGGCAGGTGGAGGTGAAGCGTCTGGGGAAGGTGGGGTGGAGCGTCGTCTGGGGGGTGAAGCGTCTGGGGAGGTGGAGGTGAAGCGTCTGGGGAGGTGAAGCGTCTGGGGAGGTGGAGGTGGAGGTGAAGCGTCTGGGGAGGTGGAGGTGAAGCGTCTGGGCAGGTGGAGGTAAAGCGTCTGGGGAGGTGGAGGTGAACGCGTCTGGGGAGGTGGAGGTGGAGTGAAGCGTCTGGGGGGGGAGGTGAAGCGTCTGGGGAGGTGAAGCGTCTGGGGAGGTGAAGCGTCTGGGGTGGTGGGGTGGAGGTGAAGCGTCTGGGGAGGTGAGGTGAGCGTCTGGGCAGGTGGAGGTGAAGCGTCTGGGGAGGTGGAGGTGGAGGTGAAGCGTCTGGGGAGGTGGAGGTGAAGCGTCTGGGCGTCTGGGGAGGTGGAAGTCTGAGGTCTGGGGAGGTGGAGGTGAAGCGTCTGGGGGGTGAGCGTCTGGGCCAAGGTGGAGGTGAAGCGTCTGGGCAGGTGGAGTGAAGCGTCTGGGGAGGTGGAGGTGAAGCGTCTGGGAGGTGAGGTTGGGGAGGTATGCGTCTGTGGAGGTGAAGCGTCTGGGCAGGTGGGTGAAGCGTCTGGGCAGGTGGAGGTGGAGGTGAAGGTCTGGGCAGGTGGAGGTGAAGCGTCTGGGAGGTGAGGTCTGGGGAGGTGGAGGTGGAAGCGTCTGGGCAGGTGGAGGTGAAGCGTCTGGGGAGGTGGAGGTGAGCGTCTGGGGAGGTGAAGCGTCTGGGGAGGTGGAGGTTGGAGCGTCTGGGAGGTGGAGGTGGAAGCGTCTGGGCTGGGGATCGGGGGAGGTAAAGCGTCTGGGGAGGTGAGGTAAGGCTGGGGGGTGGAGGTGAGCGTCTGGCAGGTGGAGGTGAAGCGCCGTCTGGGGTGGGTGAAGCGTCTCGTGGGGAGGTGAAAGCGTCTGGGGAGGTGAAGGGTCTGGGGAGGTGAAGCGTGGGCAGGTGGAGGTGAAGCGTCTGGGAGGTGGAGGTGAAGCGTCTGGGCAGGTGGAGTGAAGCGTCTGGGGAGGTGGAGGTTCTGGGGAGGTGAAGCGTCTGGGGGGTGGAGGTGAAGCGTCTGGGCAGGTGGAGGTGAACGTCTGGGGAGGTGGAGGTGAAAGCGTCTGGGAGGTGAGGTGAAGCGTCTGGGGAGGTGGAGGTGAAGCGTCTGGGGAGGTGGAGGTGAAGCGTCTGGGCAGGTGGAGGTGAAGCGTCTGGGGAGGTGAAGCGTCTGGGGAGGTGAAGCGTCTGGGGAGGTGGAGGTGGTAGAATAATCCCTCTGGTTCTTGGTTCTTTGTACTTAGGAGGTCAGGACATCTTCATGACGGAGGAACAGAAGAAGTATTATAACGCCATGAAGAAACTGGGCTCCAAGAAACCACAGAAACCCATCCCCAGACCCTTGGTGAGTCCTGGACCAGACCAGACCAAGACCAGGACCCAGACCAGGACCAGGACCAGGACCAGACCAGGACCAGGACCAGACCAGGACCAGGACCAGGACCAGGGACCACCAGGACCAGGACCAGGACCAGGACCAGGACCAGGGACCAGGACCAGGACCAGGACCAGGACCAGGACCAGGACCAAGACCAGGACCAGGACCAGACCAGGACCAGGACCAGGACCAGGACCAGGACCAGACCAGGACCAGGACCAGGACTAGACCAGGACCAGGACCAAGACCAGGACCAGGACCAGACCAGGACCAAGACCAGGACCAGACCAAGACCAGGACCAAGACCAGACCAGACCAGGACCAGGACCAGACCAGGACCAACCAGACCAGGACCAGACCAGGACCAGGACCAGGACCAGGACCAGACCAGACCAGACCAGGACCAGGACCAGACCAGACCAGGACCAGGACCAGGACCAGACAGGACCAGGACCAAGACCAGACCAGGACCAGGACCAGGACCAGACCCAGGACCAAGACCAGACCAGGACCAGACCAGGACCAGGACCAGGAGACCAGGACCAGGACCAGGACCAGGACCAGGACCAGGACCAAGGACCAGGACCAAGACCAGGACCAGGACCAGGACCAGGACCAGGACCAGGACCAGGACCAGGACCAGGACCAGGACCAGGACCAGGAGACCAGGACAAGACCAACCAGACCAGGACCAGACCAGACCAAGACCAGACCAGGGACCAGACCAGGGACCAGGAGACCAGGACCAACCAGACCAGGACCAGGACCAAGGACCAAGACCAGGACCAGGACCAGACCAGGACCAGGACCAGGACCAGACCAGGACCAGACCAAGACCAGACCAGACCAGGACCAGACCAGACCAGGACCAGACCAGACCAGGACCAGGACCAGACCAGGACCAGGACCAGGACCAGGACCAGACCAGACCAGGACCAGGACCAGACCAGGACCAGGACCAGGACCAGGACCAGGACCAGGGACCAGACCAGGACCAGGACCAGACCAGGACCAAGACCAGGACCAGACCAGACCAGGACCAGGACCAGGACCAGGACCAAGACCAGGACCAGGACCAGACCAGGACCAAGACCAGACCAGGACCAGACCAGACCAGGACCAGGACCAGACCAGGACCAGACCAGACCAGGACCAGACCAGACCAGGACCAGGACCAGGACCAGACCAGGACCAGGACCAGGACCAGGACCAGGACCAGGACCAGGACCAAGACCAGACCAGGACCAGACCAGGACCAGGACCAGGACCAGGACCAGACCAAGACCAGGACCAGACCAGGACCAGGACCAGGACCAGACCAGGACCAGGACCAGGACCAAGACCAGGACCAGGACCAAGACCAGGACCAGACCAAGGACCAGGACCAGGACCAGACCAGGACCAGACCAGGACCAGGACCAGGACCAGGACCAAGGACCAGGACCAGGACCAGGACCAGGACCAGGACCAGGACCCAGACCAGGACCAGGACCAGGACCAGACCAGACCAGACCAGGACCAGACCAGACCAGGACCAGACCAGGACCAGGACCAGGACCAGACCAGGACCAGACCAGGACCAAGACCAGGACAGACCAAGACCAAGGACCAGACCAGACCAGGACCAGGACCAGGACCAGGACCAGGACCAGGACCGGGACCAGGGACCAGGACCAGACCAGGACCAGACCGGACCGGACCGAGACCAGGACCAGACCAGACCAGACCAGGACCAGGACCAGGACCCAGACCAGGACCCAGGACCAGACCAGGACCAGACCAGGACCCAGGACCAGACCAGGACCAGACCAGGACCAGGACCCAGACCAGGACCAAGACCAGGACCAAGACCCAGACCAGGACCAGACCAGACCAGGACCAGACCAGGACCCAGACCGACCAGGACCAGGACCAGGACCAGGACCAGGACCAGACCCAGACCAGGACCAGGACCAGGACCAGGACCAGGACCAACCAGACCAGGACCAGGACCAGGACCCAGGACCAGGACCAGGACCAGGACCAGGACCAGGACCAGGACCAGGACCAGGACCAGGACCAGGACCCAGGACCAGGACCAGGACCAGGACCCAGACCAGGACCAGGACCAGGATCAAGACCACAGACCAAGACCGGGACCAGAGAACAGAGACCAGAGACCAGAGACCGGGACTAGGACCAGACCAGACCACAGGAGAACTTACTGTCACCTCAGGATGGGGCTGAGGGTCTGGTCCTGGTCCTGGTCTCTGGTCCTGTTTCAGTCCTGGTCTTGGTCTTGGTCCCGGTCCTGGTCCTGGTCCTGGTCTCTGGTCCTGGTCCTGTTTCAGTCCTGGTCCTGGTCCTGGTCTCTGGTCCTGGTCTCTGGTCCCGGTCCCGGTCCTGGTCCTGGTCCTGGTCTGGGTCTTGGTCCTGGTCTCTGGTCCCGGTCCCGGTCCTGGTCCTGGTCTGGTCTGGTCCCGGTCCCGGTCCTGGTCTCTGGTCCCGGTCCCGGTCCTGGTCCTGGTCCTGGTCTCGGTCCTGGTCCTGGTCCTGGTCCTGGTCCTGGTCTGGTCCCGGTCCTGGTCGTCCTGGTCTGGTCTGGTCTGGTCCGGTCCCCGGTCTCTAACCTCTGGTCCCGGTCCCGTCTAACCTCTGGTCTAACCTCTGTCCCGGTCTAACCTCTGGTCTAACCTCTGGTCTAACCTCTGGTCCCGGTACCTCTGGTCCCGGTCCCGGTCTAACCTCTGGTCCCGGTCTAACCTCTGGTCTAACCTCTGGTCCCGGTCTAACCTCTGGTCTAACCTCTGGTCCCGGTCTAACCTCTGGTCTAACCTCTGGTCTAACCTCTGGTCCCGGTCTAACCTCTGGTCTAACCTCTGGTCTAACCTCTGGTCTAACCTCTGGTCCCGGTCTAACCTCTGGTCTAACCTCTGGTCCCGGTCTAACCTCTGGTCTAACCTCTGGTCCCGGTCTAACCTCTGGTCTAACCTCTGGTCCCTGGTCAACCTCTGGTCCGGTCGGTCAACCTCTGGTCTACCTCTGGTCTAACCTCTGGTCTAACCTCTGGTCCCGGTCCCGGTCCCGGTCTAACCTCTGGTCTAACCTCTGGTCTAACCTCTGGTCTAACCTCTGGTCTAACCTCTGGTCTAACCTCTGGTCTAACCTCTGGTCTAACCTCTGGTCCCGGTCTAACCTCTGGTCCCGGTCTAACCTCTGGTCTAACCTCTGGTCTAACCTCTGGTCTGCTGCAGAACCCTCTGTCGGGCCTGTGCTTCGACCTGGTGGGGAAGCAGGCGTTCGACATCGTGATCATGGTGCTGATTCTCCTCAACATGATCACGATGATGGTGGAGACGGACGAGCAGCCGCAGCAGATGGAGCGAATCCTTTACTACATCAACCTGGGCTTCATCCTCATCTTCACCGTCGAGTGCAGCTTGAAGATCCTGGCGCTGCGCTGCTACTACTTCACCGTCGGCTGGAACATCTTCGACTTCGTGGTCGTCATCCTGTCCATCGTGGGTAAGTCCTGCCCCAGACCTGCCCCAGTCCTGCCCCAGACCTGCCCCAGACCTGCCCCAGACCTGCCCCAGACCTGCCCCAGACCTGCCCCAGACCTGCCCCCAGACCAGACCTGCCCCAGACCTGCCCCAGACCTGCCCCAGACCTGCCCAGACCTGCCCCAGACCTGCCCCAGACCTGCCCCAGACCTGCCCCAGACCTGCCCCAGACCTGCCCCAGACCTGCCCCAGTGCCCCAGACCTGCCCCAGACCTGCCCCAGACCAGACCTGCCCCAGACCTGCCCCAGTGCCCCAGACCTGCCCCAGACCTGCCCCAGACCTGCCCCAGACCAGACCTGCCCCAGACCTGCCCCAGACCTGCCCCAGACCTGCCCCAGTCCTGCCCAGACCTGCCCCAGACCTGCCCCCCAGACCTGCCCCAGACCAGACCTGCCCCAGACCTGCCCCAGACCTGCCCCAGACCTGCCCCAGACCTGCCCCAGACCTGCCCAGACCTGCCCCCAGACCTGCCCCAGACCTGCCCCCAGACCTGCCCCAGACCTGCCCAGACAGACCTGCCCCAGACCTGCCCCAGACCTGCCCCAGACCTGCCCAGACCAGACCTGCCCCAGACCTGCCCCAGACCTGCCCCAGACCAGACCTGCCCCAGACCTGCCCCAGACCTGCCCCAGACCTGCCCCAGACCGCCCCAGACCTGCCCCAGACCTGCCCTGCCCCAGACCTGCCCCAGACCTGCCCCAGACCTGCCCCAGAGACCTGCCCCAGACCTGCCCCAGACCTGCCCCAGACCAGACCTGCCCCAGACCTGCCCCAGACCTGCCCCAGACCTGCCCCAGACAGACCTGCCCCAGACCTGCCCCAGACCTGCCCAGACCTGCCCCAGACCTGCCCAGACCAGACCTGCCCCAGACCTGCCCAGACCTGCCCCAGACCTGCCCCAGACCTGCCCAGACCTGCCCCAGACCAGACCTGCCCCAGACCTGCCCCAGACCTGCCCCAGACTGCCCCAGACCTGCCCCAGACCTGCCCCAGACCAGAGACCTGCCCCAGACCAGACATGCCCCAGACCCCCAGACCTGCCCCAGACCTGCCCCAGACCTGCCCCAGACCAGACCCCTGCCCCAGACCTGCCCCAGACCTGCCTCCAGACCTGCCCCAGACCTGCCCCAGACCAGACCTGCCCCAGACCTGCCCCAGACCTGCCCCAGACCTGCCCCAGTGCCCAGACCTGCCCCAGACCTGCCCCAGACCTGCCCCAGACCAGACCTGCCCCAGACCTGCCCAGACCTGCCCCAGACCCTGCCCCCAGACCTGCCCAGACAGACCTGCCCCAGACCTGCCCCAGACCTGCCCCAGACCAGACCTGCCCCAGACCTGCCCCAGACCTGCCCCAGACCTGCTCCAGACCTGCTCCAGACCCTTAGACCTGTTATAGTTCTGGTTTAGTTCTGGTTTAGACCTGGTTTAGTCCTGGTTTAGACCTGGTTTAGTCCTGGTTTAGACCTGGTTTAGTCCTGGTTTAGTCCTGGTTTAGACCTGGTTTAGTCCTGGTTTAGTCCTGGTTTAGACCTGGTTTAGTCCTGGTTTAGACCTGGTTTAGTCCTGGTCTAGTCCTGGTCTAGTCCTGGTTCAGTCCTGGTCTAGTCCTGGTTCAGTCCTGGTCTAGTCCTGGTCTAGTCCTGGTCTAGTCCTGGTCTAGTCCTGGTTCAGTCCTGGTCTAGTCCTGGTTCAGTCCTGGTCTAGTCCTGGTCTAGTCCTGGTTTAGTCCTGGTCTAGTCCTGGTCTAGTCCTGTTTGAGTCCTGGTCTAGTCCTGGTCTAGTCCTGTTAGAGTCCTGGTCTAGTCCTGGTCTAGTCCTGGTTTAGTCCTGGTCTAGTCTGGTCTAGTCCTGGTTTAGTCCTGGTCTAGTCCTGGTTTAGTCCTGGTCTAGTCCTGGTTTAGTCCTGGTCTAGTCCTGGTTTAGTCCTGGTTTAGTCCCTGGTCTAGTCTGGTTTAAGTCCTGGTTTAGTCCTGGTCTAGTCCTGGTTTAGTCTCCTGGTTAGTCCTGGTTTAGTCCTGGTTAGTCCTGGTTCAGTCCTGGTCTAGTCCTGGTCTAGTCCTGGTCTAGTCCTGGTCCTGGTCTAGTCCTGGTTCTAGTCCTGGTCTTAGTCCTGGTCTAGTCCTGGTTTAGTCCTGGTCTAGTCCTGGTTTAGTCCTGGTCTAGTCCTGGTTTAGTCCTGGTTTAGTCCTGGTCTAGTCCTGGTTTAGTCCTGGTCTAGTCCTGGTTTAGTCCTGGTTTAGTCCTGGTCTAGTCCTGGTTTAGTCCTGGTCTAGTCCTGGTTTAGTCCTGGTCTTAGTCCTGGTTTAGTCCTGGTTTAGTCCTGGTCTAGTCCTGGTTTAGACCTGGTTAGTCCTGGTCTAGTCCTGGTTTAGTCCTGGTTTAGTCCTGGTTCAGTCCTGGTCTAGTCCTGGTCTAGTCCTGGTCTAGTCCTGGTTTCAGTCCTGGTCTAGTCCTGGTCTAGTCCTGGTTCAGTCCTGGTCTAGTCCTGGTCTAGTCCTGGTTAGTCCTGGTAGTCCTGGTCTAGTCCTGGTTAGACCTGGTTTAGTCCTGGTTTAGACCTGGTTTAGTCCTGGTTTAGTCCTGGTTTAGACCTGGTTTAGACCTGGTTTAGTCCTGGTTTAGACCTGGTTTAGTCTGGTTTAGTCCTGGTTTTAGTCCTGGTTTAGACCTGGTTTAGTCCTGGTTTAGACCTGGTTTTAGTCCTGGTTTAGACTCCTGGTTTAGTCCTGGTTTAGTCCTGGTTTACCTGGTTTAGTCCTGGTTTAGACCTGGTTTAGTCCTGGTTTAGTCCTGGTCTAGTCTGTCCTGTCTAGTCCTGGTTTAGTCCTGGTCTAGTCCTGGTTCAGTCCTGGTCCTGGTCTAGTCCTGGTCTAGTCCTGGTTTAGTCCTGGTCTAGTCCTGGTCTAGTCCTGGTTTAGTCCTGGTTTAGTCCTGGTCTAGTCCTGGTCTAGTCCTGGTTTAGTCCTGGTCTAGTCCTGGTTTAGACCTGGTTTAGTCCTGGTCTAGTCCTGGTTTAGTCCTGGTTTAGTCCTGGTTTAGTCCTGGTTTAGTCCTGGTCTAGTCCTGGTTTAGACCTGGTTTAGTCCTGGTCTAGTCCTGGTTTAGTCCTGGTTTAGTCCTGGTTCAGTCC